CTCAGGCTGGAGGGGATGGCTGGCAGGGAGGTGGCAGGCGTCTGGGATCCAGGCACCCACTCGGCTCAGGGCCCCGTGGGCCATCACCCAGCCCAAGGCTGTCTCTCTTAGAACCCTGCACACGGGGTGCCTCTGGGCAGATGCTGGCCTGGCTGAGCCACACGGTGAGACAAAGGGCTCCCGGGGGAGGGGGTGCAGGCTGTAGCTCAGGTGGCCTCGCCCCCCGAAGCCCCAGGCATGGAGCCTTCCCGGAGGCCTGGGCTGGCCGCCATGGCTGGCACTGGGGTGGGCCTCCCAGAAGCTGGTTCACCCTCGGGAGCTGCCCTCTGACCAGGGGGACTGAGACCCACTGCTCCGGGCTGATTCCGGCAGACCATCCGCCCCCCCATCACAAGGGCCAGTCCCAGCCGTCCTGCTGCGGACCTACCTTCCAGGTGCTCCGTGGTAACCAGGCCCAGCGCCACCATGAAGGCGATTTTCTGAGGGGAGGAAACAGAAGTGTTACCTCGCTTCATCATTCGCCCATTCATCCATTCACCCATCCATTCACCCATCATTCACTCATTCTACAGGCACTGCTCAGACCCCTATGCCCTGGCTCCTCACTGTGTCTCCTTAGCTTTAACCTAATGGACTTCCTCTGTCCTGGGACCCACCCCAGACCCACGTGACATTCAGTCCTCACGCCTCCTCAGCTGCTCTGTGCTGTGAGCTTCTCAGCAGCCCTCGTTTCTATGGCCTTGATGGTTGTGAGGAGGGCAGGGCCTCTGCAGGCGGCCCCTCCACTGGGATTGGCCTGATGAGGTTCTCAGGGTTACAGCGGGGTCGTGGGTTGGGGAAGAAGACACAGAGGAAATGCCTTCTTGTTACATCCTGTCGGGGACATGCTGTCCACTGGCCAGTGATGCCGACTGGGCACCTGGCTGAAGTGCGCCTGGCAGGGTTCCCACCAGGACCTTCCCATCACCCCGTCCCCCCGCCCTTATTTATTTTTTTGGCTAACCCTCACCTGAGGATATTTTCCCATTGATTTTTAGAGAGAGTGGAAAGGAGGAGGAAAGACATGGAGAAACATCGATGTGA